TTTAAGCTTTCCTAAAGCATTACATGCAGAATTAACAAACCATCGCGCAAATGACCCCCATACACCGTAATTATTTAAAAACCGTACCTACAAAATTGAAACAAAGTTTTTCCAGTTCATCATAAATATCATGCTGAATAAACCAGAAAAATTACACAGGCCCACAAAATAATAAAGTGGTATGTACCTAGGGTCTGATTATGTTTCTTCTCATGTACTTTTTCACGCAAAAAATCGGAGGTTGGTGGACAAATTTTAGATAAAACGCATAAAAACGATCCACAGGCTCGCAAAAAATATGAAAAGTAGTTCCTGTTGGAGATCCCACTATTTTGTTCCATGTATTTTTCCTCTGAACATAAATTCATCAAAAGTCGAAATTGGATGAAGATAAAATATAAATTTTGGTATTTTTGATGGAGGTGTAACAGAGATCTCTGAAGAAATGCATATCCATCAAAAATGTCAAAATGTGTGATCTTCATGCCTGAATTACTTACACCCACCCCTATTTTGACTTCTGATTCATGTTCAGACGCACACCACCTTATTTACGAGTATTTTGAGGGCTTGTGTTTTTGCCAAAAATGCTTTGGGTGCTATTTTTTCAATATGGCGTTGCAAGTACTAACTTTTCAAAGACCCCCCAAAACATTCCACAAACCATCAAATTTTTGGGACAAGTCACACGTGTGAGATTGTCTGGGTTGTACACTGCAGTTTTTTGTGATGTATTTTCATCTTAGGAAAAGCTAGTAATCACCTTTTTATGTCTGCCTGTCAACGATCGAATAGAAAGTGTCTAATTCACCTAATACAATAAAATAAAACTACCGACATTGATAAGCTCTATCGGGCGCACTTCCACATTGTACGCCTGCCGTAATAAATTAGATAATGGAAGATAATAATACCGGACAGTAATATGGATAAATTTCCGATGATGGATAGCTCATTCTATAGTTTTCTCTTTTCGATTGACTATCAACGTGTATAATCAAACGATTTGATGATCATTAGTAGCGCGAGAACACTCACTCTTTCACTCTTGATCGCTACGGGCACCGCCGCTGTCCAAAGACGGGAGTGCAAATGAGTGATTTTTATGGTCCGGCAACTAAATCTGATACGACGTGTCTGAATTTTAATTTGTGGTATCATGCACGGTGGACCAATGGATGAAGTAGTACTAGCCGGACGTCAATATAGCAGAACTAACTGCGGGACACTTTCAAATAAAGGTGTTAGCTGTTTGAAGCGGTCCGTGGGAGAAAAAATAATATCCATGTAGGGATGTTTTGAGGAGTAAAAAACAGACGCAACTTCATATCCAAGAAACGGGTACTTTTGGAAAAAGCATGTACCGTAACAAGAATATTTTACTGCTCAAGCGGAAGCCAGGGGAGGCATATGCCTCCCTTAATGGGTGCCCATGGAAGCGAAGTATACTCAAGAAATTTAACAACCACCATTAAAGCTAGACGTAAATCCTGCCAATCCTTGAACGACGCTCAAAATATCAAACCAGTCTGCTCCAGAGGCTTCTCTATCAGAATATATTGGCTAGAAACTAGAATGATGTTTCATTCTCTCTCAGCATTCGGAGCAGGTTGGATCATTCCAAATTTTGGACAGAACTTAAATATACGCTAAAAATGAACAGATAGATGTCGACCACCGGAATACGAGGTATTCTCAAAACTACCAGCAATAGCGTGCTATGGAAAATTGCATAGTCACAAACTGAGTTGACTCAGTTTGAACTATGACCAACCGCATACAACGTCGTTTCATACTTTTTAGCAACCATCAGTACTCCAAAACTTCAAGTTTTATTTTATGTGATTTTGATTACACATTTGATATTAGTTTATTGTTGCAACAACATATTAAATAAAAATGCCCATTGCCAAAGTAACAATTTCATTACTTTGATTATTGCATTTCTTTCTCCGAAACTAATCTCCTTCATAATAATGCAAAACGCAGGTTTAGGCTAGCTTAAAATAAGTTCACAGAACACTAAGATGACCAAGTCGATAAGAAGCCCATGCCATCTGTGTGTAAGTATGCAAAACAGTAATCCTCGATATATGGAGGAACACTGATGGAACTTTTGTTGAATTGGCGTTAAAATACCTCTTCCTGATGGTCACTTGTGCGCCAGCTGAAAGATTATTTTCCAAAGCGGAAAATACGACCAGGAAAGTTTGAAATCGTATTTCAGGAAAAATATTACCAACATTATTATTTTTAATATCTCTAACTGATCATTTGGGCAATACGTCTTTTTAGTATTTTATGATTAAAGTTAAAATCTATTATTTTAGTTTCGAAACCATAAGGTTATGGTTTTGTTTTTATAAATCTAGTTCATTATTTTCATTCGATTCAAATTTTCAATGCCATTGACGGTGGATATTTTTTGTTTTTTTAAGCTCAATAATGTTTTGTTTTGTATTTTACTTTTTTTACTGTTTTATGTTTTGTATGTCTTGTTACATTATTTTAATTCTAATAAAATATATGAACTGAAAAACATTTGTTTTTGTTTTTTATACATATAAATCGATTATATTTATCTTCTAAAAATAGATTAATATCGAGAAAGAAAAAACTGAATTTTCTCACATATAATAATAATAATAATAATAATAATAATAATAATAATAATAATAATAATAATAATAATAATAATAATGATAAAGGGTCTTTATTGCACTAAACATTTAGTACATTACGAGGGGCGAGGATTAGCGTGAGCTATTCTTCCACCTAACCCCGTTTTGATAATTTATACGAAATTACATAGAAATGGATGACATTAACTATGGTACATACATTTAAATGCGTTTGTTTTAAACCAACAAAACTGTGATCAAAGGGATTTTTTTTTAAATCAACCATCATTAACCAATAAAAAAAAATATATAAGTGGCAATTCATGTTTGCGAGAGAAGATCGGACTTCAATTTTAATTTAAAAGTTTTAATATTCGCAATATTTTTAAAATGAAAATTAATACTGTTGTAATATTTAACGGCATTGTAAATAAAGGTTCTTGAATATAAAACAGTACGGTGGACTGGCAGTATAAAGAAAGCCTGATGCCTTGCGTTAATATTATGCGTGCTGGATCTGGTAATAAATTTTTCAAACAGGTATGGGGGTGATGCGGATAGTAAAATACGATGCACAGAACTTATAACAGAATATTTGTATAGATTATCTATAGTTAACCAATTGAGGTCAGAATACGTATGCGATATATGATCAAGTTTCCTCAAATTATGTATGTACCTACTAACTGCATTATCTGTAGACGTCTTTTATTCGCAACAGTTAGGCAGGGGTAATAAATTATTAGCCCATACGAAATCTTAGACAATAGCAAGCTTTCACATAGCTGTTTTTTCAATTGCTTACCAGTGATGCAATTGTTTGCAAATAGAAGCCGGAGCGAACCGTAACATTCCCTCAAAACGTGCTGTAAGTGTTTTTCAAACCTCAGGTCCAAATGTAAGCTCAAATTTTTGGCACATTCTGAATAAGGGATGATTTTTACTTCGATTTGAACGTCAATTTTGCTTATCAGATTTGCTCTTATTTTGATATTACCAAATAGCAAGGCTTTACACTTCGATGGGTTGAGCTTGAGGTTATGTAACTTGCAATAGCGGCTAATACTTGACAAATCTTCATTGATTTGGTCTTGAGCTTCAGAGTAGCGTGAGGCTGGAAAATCATACTTTACCTGAGTGTCATCGGTAAGAATTGCACATGACAGTGCTTGACAGTATCTTGAAGACCCGCGGTGTATAACAAAAAAAGCAATGGAGCTAATACGGAGCCTTGAGGTACTCCGGACTGAACTTTATTTGGCAAAGACATCTGACCATCAACCACAGCCACTTGCGACTGATCACTTAAATATGACTTGATGAGCTTACAAGCAAGATCATCAAAGCCATAGTAATGACATTTGGCTACAAGCAGTTTGTGATTCAATGTATCAAATGCCTTCGAGAAATCTAAAAGGACAAGAGCACACAAGTTTTTATTGTCAAGCGCGGAAATTATGCCATCGATCAAGTCCACTAAAGCCGTAGTAGTGCTATGATTTTTTTTAAAACCCGATTGACTTATAATATTATTTTTGTCTAAGTACTCGTAAATCTGGATATAAGCTGCGCGTTCCAGTATTTTGGATAGAAGAGGCAAAAGACTTATCGGTCGTAGGTCGTCAAATGACAAAGGATTCGAGGTTTTAGCGAGTGGTTTTACCATTGCTGTTTTCCACGCGCTTGGAAAATAGCCTCTCTCTAAGCATAGATTGATAATATGCAACAAATAAAGATTTATAGCGGGATAGCATAATTTTAACATTCGCAACGTAACTCCGTCATTACCAGATGCATTGGAACCAATATGACTGATTATAGATGCTAAGCTTGTCAAGTCAATTAAATTGAAAGAAAACCTCTCAAAACTATGTCTGTTGTTACGATAATGAATTATTTTGTCAATACATTGTTCATCACTATTCTTAAAAATTGAGGTAAAGTAATCATTCACTTTATATGGATTGGAAAGGTGGACCGGAATGTTCGGAGGCTCTTTATTACTTTGTATGTGCATTTGTTTCAATGATTTGTAAAGAGATTTAGAGTTTTTATTTTTATGTAGATGTTCCATTTTATATTTGGAGAGAGCTTCACCCCTTTCCCTGAATAACATTTGTACGTTTGCAGTTTGCTTTTGGCTTTGTGACTCGTACTGTTCGTTCAGGACAGTGCAAGTCAAAAAGTGACAATAAGTTTGATGTCAAAAACTCAACTTTGCTTTCTATGTCGCTGAAATAAAGTATGCTTTCCCAGTCTAGCCGATAAAGGTCATTATCAAATGCCTCTAAGTTAATGTTAATGTATTTGTCACATCTCTAAGCTTCGGCGAACCATGTGTATTATCTTAGCATACTTTATCTTGAATTTGTAACTGACCTGCATGGTAAGCACCACGTTGTTCCCCCTGCACAGCGCCAAACTGTTGGGCAGCGGTCCTGCCCTCAGACTAAGGTGCCTAAGGGGCAGCCGTACCGTAGCTGCCCTGATCCCGTTGCCGCCCTGCTCTTTGGCCCACACTACCAGCTGCCCACAACGTACAGACACCCGCCCGGGGCACCAACAACCGTTGTCTGGGTACTTCAGCAGGAGGTCGCCTGGAACAATGAGAAAATAGAAATATACTAAGTGACATATAAATCCGAACACCCAGTTTAAATGGTTTTATTTTAATAAAAGTTGGTGAATGTATTTATCTTACTGTAAATAACAAGTGAAAAAATTTTCAGCTTTATCAGTTGGACATTCCGGTTTTTATACTGCTTTTTTTTAATTCACTAACGCTCTAAAAATGAATATTTCAGCCGCTGTAAAGAATCAACGTTGGCGGATTTTGGTTCTTGACATCCTTTACGATCGGTTACGATGCCTAGAGTACGGAGACCTGTACGATTTCGTCAACTTAGTGAGTTTGATAGGGGCCGTATAGTGGGACTTCGGGAAGCTGGACTTTCTTTTCGGGCAATGGCAGTTAGAGTGCAAAGAAGTGTAGAACTGTGGTTAGGTGTTGTCAGGCATGGCTTCGAGAAGGCCGTACGCAAAGAGCAAGGGAAACTGGACGCCGCCGTAGAACAACAGACCGTGAAGATCGCCGCCTAAGATTATTGGCCTTAAGGGACCGTTTCTCCACTACCAGGTCCATTGCAAATGAATGGTTTGCAGAACACCGAAGACCTATTGGCATGCGAAGTGTTTACCGACGAATCAGAAGTTTTGGCTTGTTTTCATACCGGCCACACTGGGTCCTCCCTTTAACTTGAGAACACCGACGTAATCGCCTTGAGTGGTGCAGACAACGGTCACTCTGGGATCAGGAATGGAACAGTATTGTCTTTAGTGACGAGTCTCGATTTTGTTCAGGCATGCACGATGGTCGTGCCAGGGTTAGAAGGCGACGTGGTGAAAGGAGGAATCCACAGTTTTTTGTTGAAAGACATGTTCATCACACTGTTGGAGTTATGGTTTGGGGTGCTATAGCTTATGGTTCCAGGTCACCTTTAATCTTCATCAGAGGTAACATGAACGCACAGCGTTATATCCACGAAGTTCTAGAACCCCATCTTTTACCCTATCTTGACACCCTGGCAGATCCAACTTTCCAACAAGATAATGCCCGATCACATGTTGCAAGAGTCACAATAGACTTCTTTCAACATAATGATGTCACATTGTTACCATGGCCACCAAGATCTCCCGACTTATCCCCAATTGAGCACGTGTGGGATATGATGGGTAGGAGATTGCTCAATTTGCAACGTCCTCCTCAGACTCTAGAAGCACTTCGAGAGGAGTTGGTGGTTGCCTGGAATGAGATACCACAGGAGGACATTGACCACCTGATCAGAAGCATGCCTAGGCGCGTTGGAGAATGCGTAGCACATCAGGGTGCATCCACACATTGTTAAAGGTCAAAGGGCTTTAAAGCAGTGCAATTATTTTGAAATTTTTATCATTTACTTATTATGCTTCTAAGTACTTATACAAAATTTTATTAAAATAAAACCATTTAAACTGGGTGTTCGGATTTATATGTCACTTAGTGTTTGTATGCTTGTATACTTTACTAGCTGTTCCCCGCGACTGACCCAAAATATTGTTTTCAAGTTATGCCATAACTTCCAATGATGTTTTGATGGCATTAGTAAATTGATACCCATCTTGCTTGCTTGGGAATTTTGGGTATTTTATTAGAGGTGCCATTTATACGTTCCGCGGTGAAACCGCGGTGCGGAAAGCTAATAAATTAATAAGGCATGTTGAAATAAACATCTTGAGTTAAAAAAAAAGATCCATTTTCGTTTCAGATACATCAAATAAACTTGCAAGTGCCCTTTAGCCCTCTTAACCTGGCACTTTCGTAAAATTCGTTCTTAGCTGGTATGTCTTGTTCATAAACTACCTCCTTACCAAATTTTATGTTCATAAATCAAACAGTTATTCGGGATAGATTTGTATAAACTTGAAAAGTGATATGGTTCTCCATAGAAATATTCAAACACCTTCTATCCCATCTTAAGGATATAATTTCTGGAATGATTTGTTCATGTTCGTAATGTTAAAGATAAAATTATAAACAAAACATTCTTCTACTTCTGACCTGGCTTAATTTGAAATACTCTAGATTCCCCACAAAAGCTTGAAATGTGTTAACATGCACTTTAGTCGCTTAGGGGTAGAACTTACAAATTTTCTTTAAAAGCACCCATTTACTTTACATGAAAGAACCTGTGGAGTGCAGAGAAGCCCTCAGATGACTTGTTTTTTGCTGAAAATTCTTCGCGGTGGTGCGATGCGTTCACTGAGTGGACTGTAGTTTTGTGATGAATGAAAAATAAATGAAAGACTTGATAATGTGTGTATGTATTTTATGCAAAAAATGACATTACATTCATAATATGTATATTATAGGTATATAAGTAGAGATGGGATATAACAAAACATATAAAACCTATATTTGTAACCCTACTAGCTTCAAAAGTAATGGCTCCCCCATTGTAACTTTTAACCCCTTTAAAAAACAAAAAATAAATAGAATTTCCTAATTTTCATTGATACCCGAGCACTCGTGTTATTCGTCAAGTATTACCCGGGACCAAAAACTCATGGGTACCCGGTTCCAGAAACAATAGTACAGAGTGCGGCAGAGAGGATGGACGGTTTTAAAAAAATCATAAAATAGGTAATTTTTACTCGAAAACAAATTTATTGATGGAATCAGGTTCACAAGGAAATAGCATTTGAGAAAGTCAAGTGTGGAAAATCACATCAGGCATGTGGTGGCCCAAATCGTTGATGCAGTGCTGGATGCGTTCTTGGAAGTTCGCGTAGACTCTCTCCAACATCGCTTTCTCAACTTGAGCGACTTCCACGCGAATTTCGCCCTTCAATTCGTCCAGAGTTCGGGGCTTGTTCGCGTATACTCTAGCCTTGAGGTGTCCCCATAAGAAAAAATCGCATATGGATAAATCTGGGGACCGAGGAGGCCAATGAACATCGCCAAACCTGGAAATAAGGCGACCAGGGAAGAGAGGGCGAATAACGTCCATTGCTGCTCGGGCTGTGTGGGCGGTCGCCCCATCCTGCTGGAACCACACTCGCCGTCGTAATTCAGGGAGAAAGAAGTTGGTGATCATGTCGACGTAGCGCTCTGAGTTCATGGTAACATCACGAACGTTACCGTCTTCGAAGAAGTAAGGGCCAATGATGCAGGTTTGCGATACAGCGCACCAAGCCGTTACTTTTGGGCTGTGCAGCGGTCTTTCGTGTAACTGTTGCGGATTTTCATCAGCCCAATAACGACAATTCTGCTGGTTAACCATGGTGTTTAGGTGAAAGTGGGCTTCGTCACTCATAGGCGAAAACGCGGTGCTCCACTGTCCAAGGCTCCATAACGACAACTGGTAAAATAATGCTAGGATCTCACGGGTCAAACTTCACCCTCCCCACCTCTCTCGTCGACGGAGGCGGAGAGTACTACATATCCCAAGAACGTCCGTCCTCTCTGCCGCGTCCTGTATAAACTAACACAGGCTGAATAAGATCTCATAGCTTTTCATCTCTGTAACTGTATTTTGAGACGGGCCACGTAAAGCAAACAAGACAAAACAGGCGAAGATATGACACTACAACCTGTTAGTGAAAGTGTCATTTGTGATTGTTCACTTTTGTTGTTTGTCTCCGAACGTACTGATGATTCATAAAAAGCATGAAACAACGATTGTATTCACTCAACGATCTGGTGTATTTGAAAGATAATTCGGCAGTCTGAAATGAACACAGTGAAGTACTGTATAGTAGACTGGAGATATCTAGTGATTTTGAACATTTTTTGCAGACTAATACGAATCACGTGTTTTTGTTTTACAAATTATAAGGGATATTCTTAAGGTTCCTATGAAATGATTAGAAAGTTCAAAAATAATCAAAGTATAGAAATAATCTTAGAACAGTTTAGAGAATCGCCTCTTTAATTGAAGTACCAACCGAAAAGGTGTCTCTTGTTCGTTCTCTCTTGTCCCGGTTTCTTTAAATTGGAGTAAATCGTTATTTTTGCGATGTAAGTGATTTAATGAAAGTGCAGTTTTTCAAGAAAAAATGGCGTCAAGTAGGTTGACTGCTTTTCCTCCCAAGTCCATCGAACAGGCACGTACAGTTAGTCCATAGACATTCTTTCCCTGCCCTACCGGAAGTTACCGTTCATTTGGCAACGTTGCCCCTTCCCATATCGTCAGGCGCCGTCGCGCCCACTGAAGCACCGCTGCAGTACGAACAGAATAATCAAGCAGACCGTTACGCCGGGCGCTGAGCCCAAATAGCAGAAGGAGACACATATCGAAAACATTTCTCCATCATTATAAGTTTTAAAGACGGAGAAAGCTATGATGTCTGAAATAGGTACGTAGAATTACTCGGGGATAGGGAGCGTGTAAATATCTTAAAATTATAGAATTAAGATTACAATACTTCCTCGTCTAGTTGGGAGGTAAAAGGACAATAATATTATTCGTATGGTTCAAGCAATAACCATTTGAACTTTTACTCACTAAACTTAAATTGGGTCAGATTTATGTGAATTCTGAGTTCATCGACATAACAGTACGATTTGTCATAATTCCAAATTTCGTCGACCTCAGTCATAACAAACTAGTTAATAATTTTATGCTACCATAAACCCGATGAACCAACTAACAACTTCTCACATTATTGCTGCAAAATTTTTACGCGAAAAATACAAACAGTTGACCTAGTCACAACACTAGCGCAGTGTTGCCAGGTTTGGTCGCTCAGTTTTCGGTAGACACTAAGATAAAAAGCAGAAACTTGATTCAAAATTGAAGAGATGGTCACCTTACTTGAGCGTCCCTCGATTTTAAAAATTGAAAAGCGAAACGGGGGATCGCATCTAATGCTGAAATGCCGCTATTTGAAAAATTCAAGACCGCAGGGCTGCACCAAATCCATACTATTTAAGATTTTGAGAAAATTTTCGGTAGATTTCGGACTAATTTTGCTTAATCAAATCACTTGAATCTGACCGAAATTTAACAATAAAGAAAGCATACTCGTTGCGCTCTGTTGCTCATACATACAGTTTTTAACCTATCGGTTAAGAATAAT